GAACACAAATATTCTATACTCTAGATTTAGGCAAAGTTGTGTTTTCACAATTTAAAAAATAATTTAAATATTTAAAATAATTGTATAAGGTAAGAAAGAAAAATACGCCTAGAAACATAAACATGGTACTGTTTGTTATTAAGAGAATTTCATCTAATTCTGGTTGGCAAGTACCACACCTAACATTTTCTGGGAAAAAAAAATAAGAACTCTAGAACTGCTAATAGCTCTTTCAAAGATTTTCCCACATTAGTATTTAAAGTAATGGTCAATCCTTACCTAAGAATTACCTAATAGTAGATATAGCTAATCCTCCAGATGCCTCTGCAGAAGCACAGGTAAGAAGGTAGGTTTAGGATAGACTGTGCCTTACTATCTCAGCTAGAAAAGTATATATTTTACTGATACCTAAGGTTCTAGGATATTTCAAACCAACTTTCTTATGAGCAGTGGCTTGTGATTGGTTCTGGCTTTGAAAATTAGCATGTGTTTAAAACCTGTCTCATTTGTATCTGCTTTTGACAACACTAAAAAATAGCTACACTAGAAGAGATAAAAAAGATTGTTGCAATGCCAAGGAAAAAGCTAAATATTTAGGATTCTATAAAAACAGCATGTTTCATTGGGTTTTCTAATTTTTATTGTGCTCTTAAGACTCATTAAGGAAATATAAATATGACATAATTCTTGCTTAAAATTTCCAGCACAGTGACTGCAATCTGTTAACTTCAAAATCATCTTTTTAAACTCACAGCTCATATGAGCTTCTTGAATGTCACTCATGTATCTTCTATATTTATCACAAAACCGCTAAGAAGTTATGAGTAATAGAAATGCCTGAGCAGATAGTGAAAATACAAATGAACACAGACCAAAAATACTGGTGGCTAAAGACTGATCCTTTCTCAAGAATTTAAAACGTGGGATAGGAAGAACATTGTCAGAAAAACAGATGAGTATCTATTCCACATCGCTCTGTGGTCTTTAAAATATCCTTTCAAAATGAATCCAGGCTGAAGCAACTTGGTGAGAGCTGTCCAAAGGCAAAACAACTTTTAACATGTTGCTGCCGTTACTCACCATTAGGTGGCAAAAGAGTGCAGATACCTCACAGGTCTTTGCCCCAGGGTTTGTGCCCAGTTGTAAGGAGGGGGAAAGGCAAAAGACAATCTTCTAGGACAATTTGTTTGGGTATCCATACAGAACATAAACACTTGCCTAAAGGAAAAAAATTAAGGTGTTGATTTTAAAAAGCCTGCGCTATCTATTCCATCTTAGTAAGCTTTTATACAATAAAGAGAGTCAGAATTGTAGTTCTGTTCCTTCTTCTTGCTTATTTGTGATATTAAGAAATTATCTTTGGGTTTTGGTTTACTGATCTGAAAAATGAAGTTTAATTATTGTTTTAAAATTAATTGTTTTTACATGACTGAGACACTTGGGAATTAACCAATGCCAGTTGTCATAGCTCTCTGACAACTGAATGAGTATCAGAGGAAATATATCTGTGGAAACGTGGATTCCTTTATGGATTCCCTGAGGGGGACAAGATCTAAACCATCAACTTGTCCACCTCCTTGATTTTAGAGATAAGGAAGCTGAGGTGCATATCCAAGGTCATATAGTTAGTCATCGCCAACACTGGAAAGACACAAACATGCCCTCATAAGTATCTATGCTGCTTATTCCTCTATTGACCAAAGACTATTTTTTAATATAAATTTATTTATTTATTTATTTTTGGCTGCGTTGGGTCTTCGTTGCTGCGCATGGGCTTTCTCTAGTTGCGGCAAGTGGGGGCTACTCTTCCTTGCGGTGTGCAGGCTTCTCATTGCAGGGGCTTCTCTTGTTGCGGAGCACAGGCTCTAGGCGCGCGGGCTTCAGTAGTTGTGGCGCGTGGGCTCAGTAGTTGTGGCTCGCATGCTCTAGAGCGCAGGCTCAGTAGTTGTGGCACACGGGCTTAGTTGCTCCGTAGCATGTGGGATCTTCCCGGACCAGGGATCAAACCCGTGTCCCCTACATTGGCAGGTGGATTCTTAACCACTGAGCCATTAGGGAAGTCCCAAAAGACTTTTAAAATAAATTATTTCAGTTGCTGTAACTGGTCATCTTTCCTTAAAACTGCCTCCTAGCTATCCATATTCACATGGAGATGATTCCTATCAAAAGTAACCTCAGAAAAGTTCTAAAAGTCACCATTATAATAGATACACAACTTCTCTACTAATAAAAGCTGTGATAAATCCTAGCCTCAGTATGTGAACAGTATAGAAAACGAGTGATTCAGAAAAAACAAAACAGTGGGGGGTGGATCCTTTTAAAGGATATGAAGGAAGTATTGAGAAAGATGAGTAAAAACAAGGATGTTACTGGCTGACACACCCAGGAACACAAGTTCTTAAGACTTAGAGGCCTGTAGAATTAAGGAAGCCACATACTTTTGGCAATAGCCCAATTTTCATAATTGCCACAGAGATGGTTCATTGAAATGATTTATGAGATGAGTTGAATTAAAGGAATTAAACCAGGGGAATTGTAATCACAGTAACGGAAAGGTGCTATACGGCTTTTATAAGTAGATTGTTTTACGTTAATGAACAGTTTAATCCTGAAAGTTGCATTCACATTTTAACGTAAGGGAGCAATGAAATTAGACCAGCCAGTTTAACCAAGCACTGGATGCCGTGATATCAAAGTGAAACTTCTACTCAACTCAAAAATATTAGAATGGCTTAAATATGTGGAAATAGGCATACCATTTTTAGAGCACAATGAAATATATTTTACAAAAGATTTTCTCTGAAGACAAGAACAAGTAATATTTCCTTATTTATAACTTTGTTGTGCACTGTAAACTGCGCTGATTGTTTTTGTGAGAGAACCGTTGCTATCTTGGTATGTGATTCAAAACATGGCATTTTCGATTTATTTAATTGCATTTTTAAATATAGTGTGTTTGAGTAACTAACACCAGCATTTTTAATATCGTGCGGCTTCAATGCATAATCTTTGGCCTGAAATTTTACTCCTGGAAATGTGTCCTAAGAGATAGTTCAAAACAAGAAAATAGTTCTTTGTATGAAAATTGTATGGTATTGTTATTTATGATAGTGAAAAAGGCGAGATCAATCTGAACTTCAAAAACAAAAGAGAGAGAGAAATGGTTAAGACAACCAAAAAAGATATAGACAGATATGTGAGGGAATAATATTCTGCAGTGATTTAAAATGAAAAGGAAGACAGAAAAGGAGACTGGAAATAATTACAAAGTATTAATAGCAATTGATATATACAAATCTTATTTCTGCATAAAACATATATATATAAGATATATATGACATACATCATATATATATGACTGGATGAGAACTTGTAGAAAGGTAATAGGATATAGGCTTATGAATGACTTATTTTACCTCTTCATACATTTAAACTGATTTCAATAATATGTTGAATTAAATGACCTTAAAAATGGCTGGAAAATGGTTTAGTCTTAATCATTCTTAAAATAGTATATGTTATAATTCTAATAATAGATACATTGTTAGTTATTTTATGTTGATTTATAGGGTAAGTATTATACTCTTAAGTCATACATGTGTCTGATAATTTTTATCCACTCTTTAATCTTATGCTTATATATTCCATGCACAGACTGTTGAGTGAAATTTCTAAGAATACTGTTCGTAAACATTTCCAATTACTATTAACTGAAAGCTTAAAGTTTTAGTAGTAAGCACCTAGTCTACTATGCTAGATAGACAGCTTGGATGGGAAGGGAGTGGATAAAGAACGCAGGAAGGGAGCAGATTGTAGACTCGAAGACTCAGAGGAGCCCCAGAGTCCCCCTCCATTCTTGGACCAATGTGGTTTCTATGGACAGTCTGCAGGGGGAATTCCCAGCCTCTCAGTAATCCATTCCTAACTCCGGGATCCAGGAATTAGCCCTGAGGTCTAAAGACATGAATCTAAAAATGAATGCAGTCATCAATAAAGAATCACTTACAATTGCCATGCAATTTGCCATGCAAACTCTGGTTTATCTCATTTTACCATGCAGCCATCATTTAGAAGAGAATGCTTTTGAAGTGTGTTATGAATGAAATGAAATTCTTTTTTTCCCCCTTAAAAGGTAACGTTTAGGTAGTCGGTATAAACTACATTGTGTTTACATATTCAAGAAATGTGTGAACTTTCATTCATTGCAATTTTTATGTGGATATATGGGATGCAAAGGCTTGTCATTTCCAATATTATAAGTATCTATTACAGATACTGGTCTTGATGCTTAGTTTAAAAAGAAAGGAAACTCTTTTGAGAGTTCAGTGCACTGGGAATTTCTACCAATATTTCTCTTCTAAGGTAAAATGTTACATGTTACCTGGATATTGTTTGTTACATGCTATTTCATACTCTCTGTTTTCTCTTTTTAAAAATGCATGTGTTTCCTCCACATTGAGAACAGAGAGTGTAACTTCAAATGTAGCATGACATGTCTGCCTCTTGACATGTTTATCTGTACTGTATGTGAAAATGTTGTCTGTGAAGGAAAAGTATATTAGAATGAATGTGGATACTTTGCTGTTAGACTAAATGTGGTTTATTCTTTGCTTGTTTGAGAAAACGCTGAAGAATAAGGTTGTATGAAGGTGTCCAGACTTCCCAGTCTAGTGATTTGGTGTCTATGTTCTTGCCATGTTCCTGGCCTTTGAAAAATCAATGGGACTAAACCCTGACTCTTCCTTAAAGCTTGAGCAGACAAGATTGCAGATATGTTCAAAACATTTGAACCTTGGTTATTTCGATTTAATTTAAAGCACTTTCAAAATATTTTAATTATTAATCCAGCAGAAACCCTTTATTTGGTTTTTTTCCCTTCCTCTTGGTTTTTTACAACAGGAAATATTAAATGTCAAGAAAAGTGCCATGCCATTATCCAAATTATCTTTTAATTAGTACCAGTTTAAGCACTGATTACATTGAAAATCATTTCATTTCAGCCACAGCGTCCTGTGTTTACTCATGAAAACATTCAAGGTGGGGGGGAACCGTAAGTATTCTTCTTATCTTCTAAATTCGAGACTAACCTTGACCCACAAGATGGACCACTGATGTACCATAAGCGAGGACGGTACAACTTTGCAAGTGAAAGAGATCAGAGTAACTAACATGAGATGACATCTCCCAGATTAAGAGAAATTGCAATAGTCTCCATCTTTCACAACAGAGAACAGAAGCTAATTTAAGAAAAAAAAATCCGTGATTTTGCGGAGAAGACTTTGATTTATGCACTAAGAAAAAAACTTTCCAATGCTGCAGTGATTCCTAAGATTCATGAATCTGTCCCCCACTCTGTTCTACTCACCACGTAGATTCTAGTAACTACAGCCTTAAAGATACACTGAAAATGTTCTAACATTGTTTTTACACATATTTGAAGAGCAGGAGAATGTCAAAGTAGACCTACAGTGATAAGTTAGTAGCATAATTCCAAAATTCCATTCTTTTGGAAATGGCAGTATTAAAACATGCACTGTCATTCAGTTACACGATGTTCACTACCCAGAGGACCAGGAAAATGCCTTTTCACACTTTATTTCAAATCCCCTCTCCTTTCTAAGTCAAATCAATCTGAAGGTGTCACACATTGTCTTTTAGGGTCTCTTTCTGCCCCATTTTGCCCATGAGAGATATTCAGAGGTTATCCACTTCTTGTTGGCTGTTGCCTACTCTGAGTGCAGAGCTAGACCCTGGGAAGGAACATTTACAGGACTAAACCATGTCAGGCTGACTTGAGCACACACAGTGTGCCTCCTGCCCACTGTCCAAGCTCTGCTCCCCTGGAGCAGAGCAAACCAGGGGGGCCTGGTGTGTGGCCTGGTGACCTCACTCCTCACAGACCTGGTGCTCAGCTAAAAGCATGCTCCTCGGAAACCATCTCTAACCTGAAACTGGCTCTCACGGAGTACAGCCAGAAAGGTTTTATTTGTTAAGGAAAAGACTATGAAAAAATAGCTTGGAGGTACAAATAATTTAAAATTGCATTTACTTGGAAAAATGTTAAATATTACTTGTAACTCGAAAGGTTTGTTTTGTTTCCTTATTTACACAAATGATGAAGGGATCACATCACAAAAAATAAATCCCAAGGCTGCTTAGGTTTACTGCATTATCAACACATTATATCAGCAGCTTTTAATGAATTTATGAATTAAGATGTAGGTGATGTCACACTGTTTCATGTCATGAAGTTAATGCTTCCTCGTGTTTATGAGCTCACAGGTGGAAAAAGGCATTTTCAGTGTCCTGCTTTGGACATAAAACATTCTTTATTAAATTTCTATTTGATCACAATGCCAATTAGATGGGTATCACTTAATCTCTTTCATTTAAGAAATAGGTTTTGAGTGAAAATAGGAACATAATGCTATAATGTCACTGCAATTCAGAAGTATGGTAAAATATGTTATAGAAGAAGTTGCAAGTTATAGAGAGAGCTTCAAGTTCGGTTGAGCATTTTCTATTTAAAAGACAGATTTCTTTTTGAGGCATCCTAACCCCACCACCATCATTCATCTCACCAACACATCTTTCAAAACAGCATTTTTTATTGTAATTCGACTGCATTTCCTGTCGTGCAATACTGATTTTGAAAGCCAGCAGAGGCAGGAGGATTTCTGGAAGGTTTGTTTATGTTTCCATGAAACTTCCAATTTTTTTTTTTTTTTGGTGGTCTAATTAAACCAGAATGGTAAGTAAACTCTGATAAGCACAGTGGCTTTCATCATATCAAAGTGAAGGAGTTCGTGCCAATTTTTTTTTTTTTTATCTCTTGGGACCTTGAGATTCTTCAAGCAGCTGGGGTTTGTGGCCTTAAATAGGCCTGTCTCTGTGAGTGGCTGGAGATGTGCCTGGGTGAAGGCTGAAGCCTGAGAAGCTCAGAGAATCAGTGTTTCCCAAAGTGAGAGATGCAATGTATATCCATGGAATTAACAGCCCAGGAATGCCTATCTCCCTCAAATGTGAGATTGTAAAAGGAACTATGGTGAAATTAACTTTCCCCAGGGATAGACAAGAGATACCATTCCTTCACCTGAACATCCTCAAATCAAACAGCAGAATAATTTGCTCCAACCAGGGTTGGCCCATGCAAACATCCAAATTAAGGAATGTCGGTATTCAAGACCTTCCTGTCTGTTTCCACACGGCTCTGGGATTCAGGCTACCTTTCTTTGTCCTTCCCCACAATCAGAGAATCCTTTTTCCATAGAAGACCTCAGAAGCTCAAGTGGTTAAAAAGGTTTACTAGGAGGACAAAATATTAACAGGGGAAGAAATCTCTAATGTTGGAATTTCAGGCTTTGCTCTCAGGCCAGGGAAGATAATGTTTCTAGGAGAGGCTGTTAGGCACCACATCTTATCAGCTCTTTCCCCAATACACCCTCCCCCAATCCAACTTTATCCAGACCCCCCAATGTGAAAAGTTCAAGGACAGGGAGAGAAGCCAATGAAGCCGAGGCCCCAGTTTATCACATGATGTTTGAGTTCAGGTGACATGATAGAATAGTTTTGTTCTACCAAAGTATGATTTTCTGACTGAATGAAGTAATCAAAATAAATCATTCTTGTTCCTGAGCAGTATCCAATATTATCAACCTTTTAAAGTTGGCTTGAAAAAATTCACAGTGCCCTGAAATGTGGTTCTTATTTTCTTACATTGGCAGAATTACATTAACTGTTATGAAGAACGGCAGAAACAAATTCACTAACTTTTAAAAAAAATTCCCCTCACATACTGATAATATTTTAGTGGTAATATGAAGTTTTCATGTTCACTGCATATCAAATGCTTCCTGACCCCGAGCTGCTAGAACTTGTGTCTTTCCAAAATGCCAGTCCATATGAATATGCATGCTATTTTATTACCAAAAATTCAATGTCTGAGTTTGCTACTGATCAATGTCAACAAAACATGTGTTCTCAAAGAATTCAGACAGAGAAAGTGGCAGCATTCTATCAGTAATTCTTTTTTATATGATTATTTTGAGAGTTTTTACATTGAACACAATTTCTCTGAGACCCATTTAAAAAGGAACGTATGTCCCTAACCTACTGTTTGAGATCACCACTTACACTGATTCAAACTATGAAACTAAACTGCTTTAAAGAATTCCTCCTGGTAAAAAACAAAAAAAACAAAAACAAAGAACACTTCTCTGTTATAGTAATTCCCATACAGTGATTTAGAAGTTGTATCTGAGACATTTTGTGCATCTCAATTTAAAATCTTTTGAAAATTCCACTTGCAAGCTGCAATTACTTGCTTCTGATTATGGCTAATTAAAACTGTAATTCCTTCTTGTTTTTATATAGCTGAATAATGCATATATCACTTCTTTTATATTCTGTACTATCATTTAATGTCCAAATGATAGCTATCCATGACTGGACAATTGAAATGCAGGTCCAATTTATAAATGTTTTAATCCAACTATGGATATTAGAATCTTCCATAAATTTTCCTCATTATGAGTTTTGAAATGCTATTAGAGTGGTCTAATTCCCATGAAAGCCTAACTACTTCTACTTACTTTACATGCTTCCAAAGACTTATACTACCTAATTAATATGTTAATAAGAATAGAAATGTTAAAAGTAAAATAAATATTATACTCTCTTCTGTAGTTTCACAGAGGCATAAAGATTTTGTTTAACACGTCCATTTGTCCTGTTTAAGGTTTCAGGCTCTGTATAACTATACTCCTAGGAATGAAGATGAGCTGGAGCTCAGAGAAAGTGATGTCATTGACGTGATGGAAAAATGTGATGATGGATGGTTTGTGGGTATGTGTACATTGGCCATTTTGTAATTTGCTTATGTTTGCTCCCTTGCACGGTTGGATGGGATAGTCAAGCTTTCTTTGATTTCATAATGCCTTTGATCTTTCGCACATCCATATGCACTATGTAATCCCAAGGCAATGACTTTTTTTTTTTTTTTTTTGCGGTACGCAGGCCTCTCACTGTTGTGGCCTCTCCCGTTGCGGAGCACAGGCTCCGGACACGCAGCCTCAGCGGCCATGGTTCACGGACCCAGCCGCTCCACGGCATGTGGGATCCTCCCGGATCGGGGCACAAACCCGTGTCCCCTGAATCGGCAGGCGGACTCTCAACCACTGCACCACCAGGGAAGCCCGGCAATTGCATTTTTAATATAGTTTAGTATTTACTGCTTCAGGTATATGTGATTTTCTGCTGGTTTTATTTCCGGTTCAACTGAGAGAAGAAAATTTCTTTAAATAGCACCAACCAGGAAAGACTGAAATCTAAGAACAAAAACAACGAAACTGCTCCCTAGATGCAAAATACCAATACCCTTGTTGAGTGGTAAATGTTAGTCGTCAGCAGTGAGGATCTAATTTGAGAAAACAAGATGAAATGAACAACTCACCCATGACTAGGTCTGCTGTAGGTGCCCTAAAACACCAGTGATTCACCTTCGTTTTAATGTGTGGTCCAAGTAGAAGTTCCATTCTCACCACTTAAAAAACAATCCCATTCTTACCGTCTTAAAAGAAAACTAGAGGTTTTCTGAGAAAAATTTTGTAGACAAGAGTATCATATCCTAAGTCACAGAGGAAAGAGGTAAAGAGGAATCAGAGGCATAGGAGGATGGAGGAGACAAAAGATGAGGGAATAAGGGCTTTCTGTAGACAGCCCAACAGTGGGGGAATATAAGAGCAAAGGCCACATTAGCAGCCACAAGCCTCTGCCTCTGTTTATATTAATCCCCCATTTAGAAGAAGGTAAAATGGCTTACCTACACAGGGATAAAGAAAATCAGTCATCAAACCAGGACAGTAAATGCAAAAGGGAAGTGTAGAGACCCTGTTCGCTCTACGTGAGCTGGAAATCATAAGGAAGAATTTAGTGCACCAGCTCTTCCAAGCAGTTTCAAAGAAATCATGTTATTCTAATCCAAAGGTGATCATAATGATGGCCGCTTATGCATTTGGTTTTACTCCTCATATTAGAAACATGCCCAGTGATAGAACCCCCGCCCACTAGTAGTGGTCTATCTTTCTTTTCTTTAGTGACTTGGTAAACAGTTCAAATTTTCTATATTTTATTAAGGACCCTGGCAGCGCTATTTGTAAATGAATGCTGTGGTGCTCAGCATGATCTTGTATGAGATAATAAAACTGGAGAGTGATGGCAGCCCCAGTAAAGCCTTCACGTTACACTGTGCTGAGGAGCTGTGACAGACGTCCTGCTCCCAGAACCAAGCCTTGCTGTGGTGCTTTTCCAGCCTACCTTATCACGTGGCCAGCCTTATCCTAACTGAGAAGATTGGATTTGAAAATGTCACTTCCCAGCTGCGTTTCCTATTCCACTCCTCACTCCTGTCTAGCAGCCTCAGTGATGGAGCCTCATCAGACTTGAGTATCATTGTACTTAAAAGCCCACCTCTGGGCTTTCCTGGTGGCGCAGTGGTTGAGAGTCCGCCTGCTGATGCAGGGGACACGGGTTCGTGCCCTGGTCCGGGAGGATCCCACATGCCGCGGAGGGGCTGGGCCCGTGAGCCATGGCCACTGAGCCTGCGCGTCCGGAGCCTGTGCTCCGCAACGGGAGAGGCCGCAACAGTGAGAGGCCCGCGTACCGCAGAAAAAAAAAAAAGCCCACCTCCTCAGCAAGACTGTCTCTCCCCTCAGACTGAGAGGCTGAGCTTTTCTGTTCAGCCCGGTGTGATGGAAGCACAGCATTTAAGCTCAAGAGGCAACAGAGGCATCAGGCAAAACAGATAAAACTGCTTACTTTGTCTTCCTATCCCTTCAAGTGAGTTTTCTCTCTTTTCCAAACCCTGAGGGCTTGCTCTCTTAGTGAGTTTTCAAGCCCACAGAGATGAACTGACATTTCATGGCTGTTACCCCTCTTTCATGTATCACTTCTATTTTCAGGAACCTCAAGAAGAACCAAATTCTTTGGTACTTTTCCCGGGAACTATGTCAAGAGGCTGTGAATCACTCTCCCCATTATTTATGCTGCATTTCAGCACCACATCTGCATAACCTTGCCTGAAAGATCTCCACAGGCCTCCTGCTGTTATGCCTTCTGGTTTCCAATAGAAGTCACCCACCATCACCATCTCCATCTGCCACCAAACCACCAGCAATGGAACTGCCGCTGCGGTGGGGAGATTGGAGGATTTGCTTCCGTGTGAAAGTGCATATTCCTGCCGTCTGCTCTAAACTGAGAAGTCAATATGCGGCAGCAGAAAGAAAATCATTATACTTAATAACGGTTGAGTAGTTGAGGCAAAAAAGTAAGTGTCTCAAGGAGGCTCTCTTGTCCACTCTGAAAGATGTTCTCCCCTCAGGCAACCAGAAGCTTGTTTATTACTACTTGCTGGGGTTTGCATTTTCACCTTCTTAGCTTGGCAGTATATTTTCCTTTCACGAGTTTGCCTAGTGTCCTGGTTTACACGATATGACAACTGTACTTCAGCTATTGTTTGCCTGCACTTATATGTTGTAATATGCACAGTGATTCCAGAATCTAAAGCGAGAGTAGGAAAGTTAATTCGAATGAGTGTGATTTTGTTGAATTGAATGTGAGTTTCAAATAGGAGTCTTCTGCAGGATTTTTTTTTTTTGTACTTTTTAGAAGTGCAAACAATAAGTGAATAAGAGCCTTTGGTAATAATCAGGAGAATATAAGAGGTTTAGCTAGATTACAGAAAACGATTGTGTTGTAAAGTTGCATTGCTATTTTATATTAAAATGTAATAATCAGCATCATGAACAATGAGCTCTTAGTGTTTTATTTATCTGATAAAAGTTAAATAAAAGCAGTGTTAGTGAGAGGTGCAAAGAATCATTCTAACATAGGCACTTGAAAGCATCTGTAAGCAATATTCATAGGTAAGATTTCACTGTGTGTACACATACACATTTGAGATTGTATGAGAACAGACAATCCATAAGATATGCTGTACATTTATGGAAATGTAGAAGAATCTCACATATTATTTTATAGAAGTAGAGTACTTCAGAAGTATCACAAGTATTAAGGCTGGTTTTAGTAAGGATTATGATTAGTACAATTATTTTTACTATGATAATTATTTTTCTTCTCTGGAACTCAGAATCCTGGCTACATTTGAGGACAGGAATATGTTGAGCCTGATTTTCCTAGTGTGTGTAAAATATTTCCTCAGAATACATTAGGCACTTTTTAGAAGCAATGTTAAATCATTCAGGTTAAATTTTCTGCCCTGCAGTAGAAACCTGGAAGATGATATTGGGACCTGAAAGATTTAATGTGCTTAACAGTGCCTGAATTACACATACCCCGAGAACTAGCTTTGTATTTCTTATGACTTTGCATAAGAACTATTCATATTTGGATCCTGAGCACCTTATAGACAAAATTTTTATGGCATTTCTTCTGTGAACAGTGGTTGATCTTTTCACAATGCATGTAGACTCTAGAATTTTGTACAGATGTTTGCTCATTTTTTGTATGGACTATTTAGTTGTTGAGAAAACAGGGGAATTTCCTAATTTGGTCTTTATCCTTCCTTTAAACTAAGCTAAAACACTTTCAACAGATTGCCCTTTACATCTCCCACAAATCATCATTATGCCTTGACAGTGCAATTCTGTAAGATAGCACTTCTGCAAAAGTTTATGAACATAAAACATCTTAGCAGCCAAACTGAAATGTATACAACTACCGATTAGAGAGGAATTTCATTAGAAAGAAGGTAAAGAAACATCTTTGATTAGCCTTGATTACTACCTTGATTACTGTCAAGTTCACAGCCAGCTTTATATTTTAAAGGCTTTGGGTTTGAAATTAGGTCAACTGCATGCAGCTTTGCTGATAAATGAATAATTACCTTTGATGCCATTTATGGGAAAAAATTCAGTATCTGTTGCCTGTCATATTTAAGAAAAATTAATGTTTCTATTCTCTGTATCTGATTTTAAAAGGAAAAATATTCATACCTAGCTTTTAGGTAATTGACTTTGAATTCTTACAAGCAAAGGTCATTGTGTTTTTCTTGAATAGACATCTAATAAATTTTGCTTGGAAGCATACTTCAGTTTTTCTTCTTGACATTTATCCTTACATGAATTGTGTATTTTATCCCAGTCTGTTAGATAAACCTCAGAGGAAATGCATTTGCTCTGTGTTCTCTTGACACGCAAATGGAGAAAAGATGCATTTGCATAAGCTCAGAGAAGAAATATTTTTTAAACCCATCACCAAAGCTCATTTGCTAAATACTCCTTGGCTAAACATTGCTCTTCAGCTAAAACAACACATTTTAAAATATTTCTCCCTCAAAGATAGCTATTTTTCTAAGAAGAAGTTGTAAGCACTTTCCAAATTCACCTTTCTTCAGTTGCCCTAAAAAGCTTTATCACCATTGGCATGGCAGACACTGTTAACACTCACAAGATCTCAATGAATCTCAAACTATGTATTGCCATTGGGTGTCATTCCTTTATCTTACATAGATAGTAAGTAACTAGCTCTTCTAGTTGGATCCTTTCTAATAAAGCGTAGTCCTTTCTGCTCTATGTGCTTCAGCCCTCTTCCATATCTATCACTCACGTATTCAGAAACACGTACGTTCCTCTGTTGGCAATTCAGTTATCAACAATGTCTTATCATGTTGCTTCATCCTAATACCCACCCTGATCCCCTCTGTTCCACTGGATAGTTTCCACTATGTATTAGCTTTCCACAAAAACATGTTCCCTTTGTAGAAAGAATATGACCCATATTATTCTTTCGTCCCTGTTTTCATGAGAACATTTATGGGTAATTTAACTAGGTGAATCTGAATCTTATCAAATGAAGGATGCTGTTGGTATACTCAGAGGTTGCTTGTCATTACTCTCTCCAAGAGAATCTGTTGCCAAGTGTTCGGCACGCTAGAAATATAAATCTGGGATTTTAAAACCACATGCATCAAAATCTGGATTCCCTTGTCCCACCTGAGAATTTATCATCTGCTCCTCTGTAGAGTCTGCTGAGATGCAGCAGAGACTTTGTCAAAGCCCCGGGCTCAAGAATCCCTAAACAGCTTTTCATTGTGCCTAGACTTCTGTCACAGCCAGCCAGGCACTGCTGTAGGTTCCAGAACAGCTACAGCCACAGTTCGACCCTCCTGCCGTGCTTCCTCACTGTGAATGCCAGGATTCTGGGTAGAATGGATTTATTTTTGCTGCAAAAATTGATGCTTAGTGACCTGTTTTACTTGATTTTATGTCAGTGCACGATCATCAATACACACCAAAAATTCCTTAGTGCATCTCATTTGTGCCACTGATGGCCACCTTGGTAGGTGGAGTCGGATCCATCGTTGTGAATCCAATACAACGATCCCCGTAAAGCACCGTCTCTACTCACCAGCCCCAATCTGCTGTGGACTCACATCTGTCCACTAACTGGCCAGCCAGGTCAGCGGAAGGGCAGCAGGAAGGGACCCTCATTATTTTATGTGCCAAATTTTAATCCCCCCTTTAGAGGGATTACTACAAACAGGCATGTCCATTTCTTATTTGACAGGAAGCAGAAAGAACCTGTGTGAGTAACTATTTCCATGATGGTCCACTGCTTGATCTCTGTGCGTAGGTGGTCACTTTGTGTGGCCTGATAATTTCCTCCCAGTGCTTTCCAGATTGCAGCCACAAATTGATCAAATAGAATAAGCACTCGGTCAGCTTCTAAAAGCCTGTTTATTTAAAGGTTGAATTATTTCATCTTCCTTTCCAGATGGTAGCCCTCCGATAGCTGTTTATGTAGCAGTTATGATTTCAAATTATTTACCTATCATGGATGATTGGTTTAGAGCACAAGCAGAGACTGGCATTAGCGGTAAACGGATTACACCAGGAATTGGCAAACTATAGCCTGTGGACCAAATTCAGTCTGCTACCTGCTTTTATTTGGTCTGCAAGTTAAGAATGGTTTGTACAGATAAACATGGGCAATAAATTTGATGATAACCTTGAGCCCCAATTAAGTGAAATCCTGTGTCCCCAGAAAAAGAATCCCTTTTCACTGGTCGGTCTATATTAGAAAAACTTTAACCTATTATTATTATATCTTGAATTTCATCAATTAAAAATTGGTGGAAATTAGTTTTCTCTCTGTAACATAAGTATGTACATAATATCCTCAATCTTGCCTCCTGGCCCACAAAACCTAAAACACTTGCTATATGTCCCTTTATAGAAAAAAAAACCTGTGAACCCCTGGTCTATTCCAATTGTCAGCAACAAACCTAGAAAGTGACTAGAGGGAAAGGAACACTGAATGTCTGCTATATCTGTCTGCCATATGTGTTATTTACAAGTATTCCATGTCTTTATCCTCACAACAAATCTAAGAAGAAATCTGCTCTGTGCCCATTTTATAGATGAGGAAGCTGAGGCTCTAAGATGTTAATACAAAATATGTGATGGAAATTGGATTCAAAACCTGGTATCTATTTACCAGGCTTGTATTCTTTCTTCTAAGCCAGCCAAGCCCGGTGCTAAACACTTTTGATCAGATTGTGCACTCCAAGTCAAACAACTACATCCATCCACCTCCCTCCCTCTCCACCACTTCCCTCTCGCAAATTCTGCCATCATGAATGGCCAGGCACTTGCAACAGCATCGAGCTGTGCACAAGATGATGAGAAACAGGTGTATGCCTTGCCCAGCACAACAGTGTTTCCCTGAGGAAAGCTAATTTGGGTTTCTAAAAGTACACAGTAACCAGTGAGGATATAATTTCAATTACTGACATGTCTCAGCTGAGCAGGAGTCTGCCCGTGAGCTGTGATTCATGAAGATCCTAGAGGCCGTTGCCTGTGAGTCACATTGGCAGCTGGTGGTGCTTTGGGAAATGCTTGCTATCGTGGAGCCATTTGGAGACAGGCAAGGCCAGCATGCTCTAAGAACATGGTGTGCTTACTGGACCTCTTTTCAGTATACAAAGCCCCAGGACACACTAGCTATTCTCTGCTGGATGATGCACTAAGTGACTGAGAGCTTTAGCTCACTGCTAAATTCAGCCCTTCCGTAGCTCAGGAAAGTTCCATCTGAGCTCATGCACATACATATATCTTGACCCCAAAAACTTTCAGTACAAGACAGAAATCTGCCTAGTGAATCTTCACCTGTTCCTTTGGGGTTTCTTGTTTCATCCTTTTCCCTAAAATACAACGGGTGACTCAGTTGTCCTGGTGTCTTCCAAAAATAAGTGCCATTTCAAACAAAACTCTTGTTACCATTAATAACACACGTGGATGAGTGTCAAATCTTGCACTGATCATACAGAAAGCTTGAGAATGACTTTGTAAAGCATTTTTGTCTTTTTTAATTACACCAGCAACAGATGTATATTGTAGGAAAAATTAGGAAATATAAATGAGCAAAAAGAAAAAACATGTAATCACTAAGAGTCTCATTTAGGGTAAAGATTACCATTTGGAACATATACCTCCAGAGTGTTTTCTACACATGTGTATTAGCGTGGTGTGTGTGTGTGTGTGTTTAGTATGTGAACAAAAGTAGAATCATACTGAACATATTATTTTACAACCTACACTTAACATTGAACAGGACTCTGAAATAAAGTGAATAAATCATGTTTCAAGTCATTTCAACATTACCAAGGTTTATAAAAATAGTGAGAAAAAGCCAAAGTTAATCCCCAGGATTCATGAAAATGCAATTAATACAAAGCCAAGAGGCAAGAACTACAGAATTACCACTAGGCTAGAAAATCTGTTGCAGTCTGAGGAATTGGTAGAGGAAGGAAAGAAAAGATAAAGAGAGAGAAGAAAATAGTATTTATTATCTCCTTGCCATAAGCCATCACATGCATTAGGCATTTTTATAGCTAAGGGGTAGCTAAAGGAAGAGAGATATTAAAATGAGAAATGTATAAACTGCAGAGCAGTTGGATACAGCATCTGAACCATCCTGGGAGTTAGCTAAGTGTACAAGTGTTGAATCAAAACTGAGAGAACAGATAATAATTTATTTTGAAAGTAGATACATTCCAGAAAAGTTAGATCTAAAATATTTTCATAACGTATAACACGGTGCTTCTCACCCAGGGTGATTTTGTCCCTCTCTTAGGGGACATAAGGCAATGTAGGGAGACATTTTTGGTTGTCACAAATGTAGGTGCTCTTGGCATCTGGTGCATAAAGGCCAGGGATGCCAGGAGTAAGACTGTCAGTGAGGTTGCACAAGGTACCAACTAAACAAATGCTTACAGATGAACATTAAACTGTGGAAAATCCCCTTGAGCAAAATGGGGCCTCTGGGAAAGCATCTGAACCTGATACTGAAGCCCATCCAGGGCAGAGAGGCTGGTCTCTCCTACCGTGGAGTCAAGGGCTGGGCATGGGAGGGTAGATTAAGTTCAGAAATCGGTCACCTGATCAGAGGTCCCATGGATGGTAAGGAGAGACTTCACCTCCTTCCCAAAGACACAAAGACGGTAGGGAACTTATGACAAGACTAGCCTGAACTCTGAGTGAGAAGTTGACAGTGCCACCTCCTTAGGCTTCCCTTGAGGCATCCAACTGTGCCCCTCTAATTATTCACACCATCTACAATATGAGAGTCACACCTATGTTCCTGGTGAATAAAAGGGTAGGAATATTCTCATCTCTAGTCAACATTTTTAGTAATAGTGACTGTGTTTAAATACAAAACGAGGAGCTTAGTCCTTGTTATGGGCTGAATTGTATCTCCCCAAATTCATGTGGAAGTCCTAACCCCCAGTACCTTAGAATGTGACTGTGTTTGGAGATGGGGCTTTAAAAAGGTAATTAAGTTAAAATAAGATCATTGGATGGGCTCTAATCCAATATGACTTGTGTCCTCACATGAAGAGGAGATTAGGACAGAGATAAGCACAGAGAGAAGACCATGTAAAGACTCAGGGAGAAGATGGCCATCTACAAGCCAAGGAGAGAGGCCTTCAGAAGAAACCAACCCTGCTAACACCTTGATCTAGGACTTCCAGCCTCCAGACACTGTGAGAAAACAAATTTATTTAAGTCACTCATTCTGTGGTATG